TGTTTCTGATGTCATCGGAAGCCTCGATAGACCATCAGCATTTGCAATCATCTTTCCCTTTTTATACTGTATTTCATAGGCAGATAGAATAATAGCCCAACGAGTGATTCTAGATGCTGCAGCTACTGGAATACTTTTATTCTTTCCGAAAATAAATTGTAAAGGTTGATGATCAGTCAACAATACAAACTTTCGACCATATATATATATATATATATATATATATATATATATATATATATATATATATATATATATATATATATATATATATTTATGGAAACGTTTTAAGGCAAATAATATAGCTAAACTCTCCCTTTCCAAATTAGAATACCGCTGTTCAGCTGTTGATATTGTACTAGATGCAAACATTATAGGTTTTAGATCACCATCCATTTTGTGGCTCAATACTGCTCCAACTCCATACCCACTAGCATCACAAGTAATAACAATTGGAAGGCGAGGGTCATAATGAGTTAATATATCATTTGACATTAGTAACTTTTTACTCTGCTGAAAAGTTTGTTCAGCTTCCTCAGTCCATTCAAATTTCGTGTTTGCTTTGCATAGGTCATATAATGGTTTAAGCTTTGTAGACAACATACTAATAAATTTCCCATAGAAATTAAGAAGACCTAAATATGATTTTAACTGTGTTACATTTTCTGGCGCTGTGGCATTTTTAATACATATGACTTTTTCTTCGGTTGGATGTAGACCACCTGCATCTATAATATGACCCAAAAACTCTACACTTGATTTATAAAATTTAAATTTACTACCATTTATTTTTATGTTGTATTCCTCTATATTTTTTAAAACATTAATTTCATTTAAATGACATTCATCTAAAGTTATACCATGAATTAAAATATCGTCTAAATAACATTTAGTCTTTGGGAGATTGGCCAGCACTGTGTCCATTATTGTTTGAAAAATACCTGGGGCTGAGCTTACCCCATAAGTAAGTCTGTTATATCTAAACAACCCCAAGTGGGTGTTAATAGTAAAATATTCTTTCGATTCTTCCCCTATTTCAAGTTGCTGGTATGCTCCTTTTAAGTCTAACACTGTAAAATATTTACTACCTGCTAAACTAGCATATATATCATTAGGCAAAGGTAATACACAGTGATCTCCATCTATGGCTGTATTTAACGTCTTTTTAAAATCAACACAAATTCACAAATTCTAATTTCATTTACATTCCTTTTGGGTACAATAACTATAGGACTAGCCCACTTACTACTCTTTACCTTTGATAAAATACCCATACTGACCATTCTACCTAACTCTTCCTCTACTTTTGGTTTTAATGCATATGGCATTTCATAAGCTCTGTGAAATATTGGTTTCACACCATTCCTTAACTTTATATGTACTTTAAAATCTTTAATAGAAGACATGGCTTCTTCTCTAAAATTGTTGTTAAACTTTGTTTTAACTTGTTTTAACCTCTATATTATTGCTATCATTTTTAACTTGATGTTTACTGCTTATTGAATATAACCTTTCATTATTGATGCCATTTATATTAAAACTTTTTTCCCAATTTGGTAAAATAACACATAACCAGTTACGTCCAAGTAGAGTTAAGAATGTAACTACTATTGCAATTTATAACTACCAAAGGTAAGCAAAATGTCCTATTATTAACCCTAACAATTACCTCAATTTCTCCCAAGATTTCTACATTCTGACCAGTAACAACTTTCAATTTATACTTTACAGGATACATTTCTAAGAATGACAACTCTTTTTCATAATCTTTACCATGAATAACACTTTTACAAGCTCCAGAATCTACTTCAAAATTTAAAAGCTTACCTTCTATATCTAATGTGACTTTACATGATTTATCATTCTCTTGTTTTACATTACCAATAAAACCTAACTCTAAGGAATTTTCCTCACACTCACTATGATCGTCTTGCACTGTGTTCACTAAATTTCTTTTCCTGCACGCACGACTGGTGTGGCCTCTTTTGTGGCAATTGTAACACTCCCAGTTCTTCGCAGGGCAACTTTCTGGGTTATGATTCCTTTTACACCGATAACATGATTTCACTGGCACTTGTACAGATGATGATTGTTTTGGTAAATTTTTGCTGTTTGTTGCACCCAACTTTGATAACACTGTATCTGACTCCAAAAATCTTGATTGATCTACCGCCTCCATACTTTGGGCTTCTTGAAGAGCTCTTTCGAATGTTAAATTACTTTCAGTCAGTAATTTTCTTCTTATTGTATCTGATTTCAATCAACAAACAAACTTATCTCGTAAGGCACCATTTAAGAAGTTACCAAATTGACAGTGCTTGGACAGGTTTTTCAACTTTTGAGCATAATCTCTTAATGGTTCATTTGGCTCCTGTTTGCTTAAATAAAAGTTATACCTCTCTGCAATGATTATTCGTTTTGGACTATAGTGCAGAACAAGAACATCTTTCAATTGCTGATATGTTTTCATCCGTGGTAACTCTGCTGCTAACAAATCCTTTAATACCTCATACGCTTCCCCTCCCATGAAAGTGAGGAACATTGAAACTTTTTTATTTTCTTCCACGAGTCCACGAGGTTATGTCAGAACTTCTAGGGTTAAACTGCTCAATATTACCAATTAAAGCCATAACTTCCACGGCCCGTAGATCCGACTATACTCGTCGCCAAATAATGTAATTTCAACTAACTTATTTATTGACACCCTCACAATTGACATGACACAGATAACCTAACCTAACATAAAACATAGTGGCCTCTTTCTAAAGGTACTTTCATAAAAATTACGTTCCCCTAGACCAAAGGATCCCACTAAATTTCCACTTTGTCCTTTCCAACTTTGGCATTAAAGTCTGTCATTATTAGTATTATTTCGTTTTTCCGAATTCTTTTGACAATATTAGTAAAGTCATTGTAAAATTATTCTATAATTTCTTTTATTTTTCATTTTGATTAATCTGTGACTAATCTTTGACTAATCATCTTTGACTAATCAGCAAGTGAAATTCCAGTGGACAAAAACAGGTATATTAAAACAGTTTACATTAAAAGAAAAACAAGAAGTGTTATTGCCAGTTCCGGACAGGGGCAGACATATAGATTATTTCAACTTTACATTTGACGATACTTACATGTTATCCCAGATTATAGACTAGGCAAATAAATTATGGTGTTCAAGCTATTCTGAAAGATGGAATATCTGCAATCTAGGAAAGACCGTAAGTGCAACCCACAGGCAGTCGTGAAGACGAAATTAAAACGAGGAGAAAATGAATCTAGGATCTCTAATGCAATTCATATTGAAAATGGAAGGATAAACGGTATGCCAGTACTGAATTTGGGAATGAACATTTTCAATAATAAAAGGGAAAAAGAAACTATAAAACCTAAAGCCATTCTAAACTAGAACAATTATATATCAGCAATTGACCGCCAGGATAAAATGCTTTCGTATTTTCCTTGAAATAGGGCAACGATAAAGTGGTATAAAAACTTTTTGTTCATCTTTTACAAATGTGTATGATTTAATGATGATCTTCAGAGACTGGTGACCAGAATAGAAGACTATGGAAAAGAGTCTAACAATGAATGTCAAAAAAACTAAACTTAGGAGAATATCCAAAACTCAAAGAAATACCGAGAATCTTTTAATAAACGGAACCAACGTCGGACAAGTGGACAAATATGAATATATGGTAACAATGATTAACTCCACAACTGATTATAATCAGGAGATCAAAATAAGAATAGAAAAGCCTAGAGAAAATTTCAACAAAATGAGAAAAGTGCTATGTACCAGGGATTTAAACTGGAACTAAGAGTTAGGTTAGCGAGGTGCTATGTTTTTTCGACTTTATTTTATGGAATGGAATCTTGGACCTTGAATGCAACATCAATGAAAAAACTGGAATCATTCGAGGTGTGTGTACAGAATAATTATAATCTCCGCCGCGGAGATGACACTTGAAGAAGAAGATGATAAATGATATCTACATAGAAAGAACTCTGGTGGCCTTCCTCTTCGTTTTTATGACTTTCGGCTGAAGGTAACTCAAGATTTGTTAGTCCCAAATGATGATGTATTTGTTCCTCCTATTAATCATAAAACGAAATCGTATGCTATTCAATGAAATTGAAATTGAAAAAACAATAAATGAAGTAAAGACAAGACATGCAGACAAAACAAAGTGGGGAAACAGATGACTTATCAAACAGACTTTCATAAAACAATGAGTTTTTGTTATTCTGGTGTTTTTCGAAATATCGTGTTTCTCATATTTTTGCCTTGAGTAAGTTTGTTTATTTCATATGTTCCCCTTGATAAAATGTAAGTATGTTATTTTGTATACCTTTAGGATATGACCAGTTTAGTTCTCCTATGTTTCTATATAGAAAATAAACATTTTTTACTTAAATATGGTGTACGTATTATTATTAAAATATATAACCTCTCCGATTAAAGTGTTCGGCATACCGTGAAAATATTATTACTTGACACCGACCACTATAAAGGCCAACAGACTCAGATGGGCAGGGCATGTGATATGCAGTAACGACAATCGCATTATAAACAATGTGTTCTGGAAAAGGCCAGATGGAAGAAGGTCTGTGGCTGCCTAGAAAAAGATGGAAAGATGCAGTCAAAGAAGATCTAGAGAAAATAGAAGTGCGACATTGGGAATTACTGGCACAGGACCGACAAACATGGAAGGCAATAGTAAACGCGGCAAAGACTCACGAAGAGTTGTAGCGCCCTTGATGATGATGATGACCACTGCGATAAAAAAAGCGAAAAAGCAAATAAAACATAACGACATCCGAGAATCCCTCAAAAATATTATCGGCAATCAAGCTGTTAACTGTTCAATCGTTGAATCCATCCATTGATGTAAAATAATAAAATGTTAAAACAAAAGTAGAAATATAAGTCCTTTTGTTTACTGTTTAATAATTTAATAACACATCTCTCATCCGATCTATATAAATATAAATTCACTTACCTATTTGTGACACCAACAGAATCGGTTTCCTTCCAAACTTATCAGACCATTGACCAGCAAACAAACAAATAATTAATCCGAAGACTTGGGTAACTATTGAATTGACTGTACTTATAACATTTACAGTTGGTTGAACTTTCTTCTGTAAATCATTATATGTAGAATTTTCTGTGTTTCCTAAAAAGGCACAGTCTGTTTCGTTATATCCTAATATAATGTAGCAGGTACGATATAGCGTTAGATTTGTTCCTATTGGACCTGAAATAGAAAATTACTTATATCGTTTGAATAAATAAAACCGATTAGTAATATTGAGGATATTTAAAATATTTTTTTCTTATTTCGTATGAAAAAAGTGTGGATTGGCAGTTAAGAAATAGTGTGCAAATTATAAATAAATAAACAAATTGTATAGGGTTTTTCAGAGATCCTTTTTTTAACAAACAAATACCGACTTTAGCCAAAGTTCTACAAGCTATTACCGATTATCTGATTGTCCACGATAAGTAAAACCAAATTTGGAAAGCTTTACATAAATTAAACTTCAAATAGGAAAATTTGGAAGATAGTGGAATAAGACATGTTTATCGAATTCGAAGAAATTGTATGTTGGAGAGGAGAATGCCTACGAAAAATTAAAAAACAGGTCAGGAAAGAATATTATTTATTATATGAATAAAAATTGGACTAATGAAGTGCATTCTATAGAAAGAATTTAGAAAGAAAAAAATATAAAAACGACTTGTCACTGGTAATGAGTTCATTCACAGTAATTTTTCTATATTTATTAAAAAAAAACAAAATGACGGTATTAGATTTTGATTTGATACAGAGCAGCAACAAGCCGCATATACGTATTTCGATCTCTTTAGATCTCCTCAGTACGGTATAGTTACTACTCCATATCAAACCAAAATATTTTCCCGTAGTAGATTATACTTATTAAAAATAACTATTTACGGACGTAACTACGCCATTTAAGAACAAAAAGAGAAATCATACGATTTCTACCTGGCGAAATCGAATTCAAATATAAGCCGCCGTGCCCCCTAAGACTTGCGAAGCAAACAGCTTGATGAATGCATCGGCAAGGGAGTCTAAAAATTGCACTCCAAATGCCGTTCATCATGGCCTATATTCGTAGTGAATTCGATTTCTGGTACTCCGGCTACTAGCGGCTTGTTGCTGCTCTGTATCAAATCAAAATGTAATACCGTCATTTTGTTTTGTTTATTTACTTCATTTGGAGTACCAGAAATCGAATTCACTACGAATATATTCCATGATGAACGGCATTTGGAGTGCAATTTTTAGACTCCCTTGCCGATGCATTCATCAAGCTGTTTGCTTCGCAAGTCTTAGGGGGCACGGCGGCTTATATTTGAATTCGATTTCGCCAGGTAGAAATCGTATGATTTCTCTTTTTGTCTATATTTATTATTAATAATGATCATTTCCAACTATTACATAGACAGCATCTTCTAAGTAGGACAAAATCTTTTTTAGTTCTGGTGTAAGAAATTTTGGCACAGAAGCTAGTCGTTCTAAAAATCCTCGATTAGAATTGTGGAAACGTGTAAAAAGTTTCATGATTGCATTCTAGTTCATGCCCAGTCAAACGATGTTCTTTCATCCCCCACGTTTAATATGTTCCGGTGTTGTGCTGAAAGATCAACCAGAACTTTTGATAAAACTTTTGCATTGTGTCAATACTTTGAAACGCTCAATACTCCGGGAGTATTGGGTTTTTGGAAGTGTAAGACTTCCAAATTCCAGAAGAACTGGAATAGAGGTGATGAAAATACTAAAAATAGGGCTAAGCTCAGAGGAACAAATTTAAATGGCCAAAGAGACACTAAATCTCAAGTGAGTGTTCGGGCTAACTTCAATGCACTGGATTGTGGCTTTAAAGATATAAACAACAATAACAAGAGATAATGAGCTAATGAGACAAGAAAGAAATGAGACCTGGTAATATCAAACGTGATACAACTGAAGAAGGTCACTGGGAATAAATTTATAGAAAGAGAACAATAAGAAGAGAAAAGAAGGGCGCCAACTCAACGATAGTTGAGATTTTGAAGTAACAAATGAATCTGGAGATAATACTCTGAAATACAAAAATACTAAATACTAATCTTGTTTTGCTATATTATATACTGGTTAGTAGAACTGAAATAAAACTCAAAATAGTAACAATAAATATATTTTTAAAAAAAGTATATAGGTATATGTGTATAAACAATTTACATATAATGCAAAGCCAAATAACAGTGGTAGTGGATGGTGTACACATACAATGGGACCTAATAGCCCCTCAACAAACGAATAGACACTACCACTGGCCAAATAAAATATGAAATATTAGTATAAACCAAGAATAGTCCATAGGATAGCCAAAGTCTTAAAACAAAAAGGTAGTCATTTAAATTTAAATTAATTCTACTAAAATAAGGTACTAATGACAATATTGTAAAGATATCAAACTTGATAAATCTCTATTACAATTATATTAAATATATAAGTATTACATCCAAAAAGTGAGTCTTCAATACTCCTTATACAATGTTTTAAAAACCACATGAAATTTATTTCCCTTTCCAATCTCAATTACATTATCTCAAAAGTATGCTAGTATAAAAATTATATCAAAGCAAATGAGTTCTGGTCAGACTCTCTAAATCCTAGTTAAAAACCTAATAAAAACATGTAATGTATTTTCCCTCTCCCAATAATATCAAAATTATATTTTATTAAAAATTAAATTATCACAAAGGTATTTACCTTATCATATGCATATGAAACGGGTATACTACTAAATAGGAAGTAACAAAAGTTAAACAGTAAATAGATAATAACAAAGTAAATAGATAGTAACAAAAAAAAATTACACAGTCAAACAACTTATCTTTACAGCCCCATAAGTCCATAGGAAAATTCCTCTTGGCACGGCTAAATCAGTTTGTGGCTGTAAAGACGAATCCTGGGCACAAAGCCACAACCAGTCACTGGTCTCTGGGTGACAGCAAAATCCACGGGTTACATACACAAGTTGCTAACTATGTATCTAAGGATTTAGTTACTAGTCCTTGAGGGAATATTCTGAAGAGAATATCCTCAAGTGAAGTGACGGAATATGGAGCTGCAGCACGCCAAAAAAATCTTCCTCTTATGTGGAACTCTTATAAATGAATATTGATTTTATTATACAAATTACTTATTTATATTATTATTAATGAATTATATTCTTCCCCAAATTATCTTCCTTGCTCCAATTCCGTCACTTTGAAGGTGAAAAATTTCACCGGTTGGCGTGGCTGCTTTGAGTTCTGACCAAAACTAATCGTTCCGCTTCCGTATAAAATCGATCTTCCTTTCAAAGCGATAACAGCGCGTGAGTGGGGAAATGTCGATTTAAAATCGATCGTAGGCGGGTTATAAAAATTTCGTAAGGGGGTAAATCAGTAGTCAGTAGCGTAAACGCTACAACTTTCCACATAACTTTTTTCGAGCTTAAAGCAAAAATGTATCTGTCATTATCAGTGATTACAAAATGGTAGATACTTTAGATCTTATGGAGGTTGTATTATGTAAATTAGAAGCTTTTTAAATATGGATATTTCACCGCCTACTAAAAAGAATAATAAAGTAATGAATAAAATTCTGAAAAACCTTGTTCTGTGATCAAATAAATCCTATACAACACATTTCTGTGGCGTAAAATAATAGAAATTAAATTTAAACACTCTATATAAACTGGAAGTCTTTGAAATATATATTTTCACTCAATTTTTTAACTAAAAATATAAGTGAATAATACAGTAATGAAATCAATTTATTAACAGACTGTAAGAAGAATCACGAGATTTTTCGAGAACATTTTCAAAACCAGAGGACACAAGAAGCAGAGGACGACCACGAAGGAGATGGATTGATGATGTGGAACAAGACCTACAGATTCTAAGGGATAGAAGATGGAGAAAAGTTGCCAGGAATCAACAGGAGTGGACACATACTGGTGGAAGAAACCCCTTCCACACTTTCTTTTAAAAGAAAAAAATTGACGCCAGAGAACTGGAATATAGCTACAAACACTTATAATAATGATTAAAAACAAAGCTACTTTTTCTATAATTACTATGGATTAGGATACACACATTGTAACATTGTAGCATCGAAAATGTGACATCGAAAAATGTTTTATCTGGGACATATAGTAAGGGGAAGTCGATGTAAAATATTACAACTTATCCTTAAAGGCAAAATAGAGGGCCGTAGAAGTGTAGGAAGAAAACACGTTTCTTGGTTAAAAAACATTCGTGAATGGACTGAGATACCAAATACAGGACAATTATTCCATATTGCAGAAAATTGAGAAGCCTTCGCAATGGTGATCGCCAACATCGGATAATTATGATATGGCACACGAAGAAGAAGAACATTGTAGCTTTTTTCTGTTAGCACTTAATATTTTATTACAAAATGACATCCACAACAAAAGAAATATTATTATAGCAGAAACTCATACCCAAATGTTAGTTTAATTATACCAAAAAAACTAAATAATAATCTTATCTTTTACAATAATATATAATTTATGTTTGAATAATATAGACGAATATAGAAGGACATGTCACTGTCATTTTTTAGTCTCGGCTGACGTTACACAAATCGAACAAGATTTTAGTTCCTTACCGTACCACTACTGGGTGCATATGTGAGCGCTATTATTGTTTCTAAAATAGAGTAGAGCAACAAATGCAACTTTGGATATTTTCTTATGTGTCAAAAAGTAACTAAACTCATTGATAACATGCTCACCGACAGACCTTTTCAAGTCACAATAGACAATTCTAAAAGTTCCCAAATGAAACTCAGCATTGGACTGCCAAAGGGATCTGTTTTGGCACCCTTACTGTTCAATTTATATATCGCGGACCTACCTAGGACAACTTCGCAGAAATTTGGCTACGATGACGATTGGGCCATTGCAGCAAGACATAATAACATGGATATCACAGAAACAATATTAGAGGATGACCTTGCCATTATGGGAGAATACTTTCGCAAATGGAGGCTACGGCCTAATGCAACGAAAACCGAAGTGTGCTGTTTCCATCTGAATAATGCCCAAGCCAACAAAAAACTCTCCATCCACTTCGAAAACAGACTGCTCACTGATAACTCAACACCAAAATATCTTGGAGTGACTCTGGACAGAACATTGAGTTTTAAATAACATCTTCAAAGAACGACAG